GAGAAAAAGGAAGCAGTGGGAAGAAAACTGAGTACCACAGGGTCATCTTTGACCCTAAGCTGGCTAAACACTAGTGTGAATCACTACAGGTATACACTAAACCTCTCTGAAGTCATTTGAATTCATTTAATACATGACCAGACAAGTAGTGCAGCTTACAAAACTGCTTACAGTGAGCACTGAGTTATTTATGTTTATTTTAGATTTATAAGGGGAGAGGTAACCTCTATTTTAAGAATCTTATAAGCATCATAAGAATCACTGAGAATCAAGAAGTTGAGACTCACATAGAAAAAGCAGCAAAAATATGGTACATCCCCTTTATTTCCCCCCTTCCACAGGCAGATGGTGGTATCAAATGACCAGAATAATATCTGTTCTGTCTATTGTTTTTCCTTGAAAGAACTACAAAATCACTTTAGGTCCGCCCAGCTGTTTGTTGCACTAATAGTGAAGAGGTAGTAGATGGAAGATGAAGAGGCGGCCATTTTCTCTAGGTTTGTGATTGACAAATATGGGCATTCTTTTTACAAAAAAACTTTGTATTAGTAGTCATCACATAACCCTTAGTCTTAAGTCTACATTAAGCAAGGCTGGGTATCCCTGGAGCACTGGGGGATTCTACAAAAATTTTAGCCATCTTCTCTAAACTCTATTCAGTTTCCCCAATTTTCATAAAGTATGACTCTATAAAACATGATTTGCTTTCATTTTCCTATGCATTCTCATACATTGTTAAGGAAAACACTAAAACCAATACGGCCCAAAATGAGAAAAACAGTGCTTATAGAATTTCTATTTCTAATTCAAAATTTCATCTAAATTAAGACCTTTAATATTCACTTAAATTTTTGAGGGTTCCAGAAGGGCCATTGATCACATCAGCTGCATCTACTGATATTTACCACACTGAAAATTAAAACTGAGAAAAATTTTAAATTCCCATTGAAAGAAGCAAGCAGTCGATGAAGTGGTCACTATAAACATTGTCCAGCCAGGTGCTCGGTCGCCAGTGGCTCACGCCTATAATCCTAGCTACTCAGGGGGCAGGTATCAGGAGGATAGAGGTTCTAAGTCAGCCTCCGCAAATCGTTCAAGAGACCCCCTCATCTCAAAAATACCCAACATGGATCATGTCTGTGATCCTAGCTACTCCGGAGGCAGAGATCAGGAGGATCGCCATTGGAAGCCAGCACCGGCAAGTAGTTTGCGAGACCCTATCTCAAAAAAGCCCATCACAAAACAGGGCTGGTGGAGTGGCCCAAGGGTTAGAGTACTTGCAGTTCAAATCCTAGTACCACCAAAAAAAAAAAAAAATTGTTCAATCTTGTTTAGGAAAGAGATGTAAATTTAAATGAGATACTACATAAGGATTGTTTAAATTGTTGGATTTGCTGTTTTCTCTGAGTGATGATAGTGTCCCAGGTTGACTTACAGAAACTAATGGCTTATGCTTCTTGTAAATGTATATACACTTTTTCTCAAAAGCAAAATGTGAAAAATAATAGCTAGCATTCCATGACATTTTGCTAAAATACCCAAACATTACTATTATCCCTATTTTACAGTTGAGGAAACATATTTTAAGAAGATAAAGCAACTGTTTCATGATCTCACAAACTTGAGAGTAGTGAGATTTTTGTAAGAACCATACTCTTTCGCTCATGGACCGATTGGTATCGCTTGCACAGTGTCTGACACAGAGTAGGGATTCCATCGTATTTGTTCAAGATGTGAATGCGGGGGGTGTGACGCAAGCCGTAGTGCACCTTTCTAGCAAGCAAGTAAGTCCTGAGTTCAAAACCCAGGCCACCAAAAAAATATGAATGCATACATAACAATGTACAATTGTTTTGAAAATCATGTTAACAAAAAATTTTATGAATGAAGGAGAAGCACCACATAAAACAGTATGTACATGACCAGGCGCTGGTGCTCACGCCCACGGGGGGGTGGGGGAGGCTGCAGTATGAGGGCAGATGGGTCAAATAGTTCTCGAGACCCCTATCTCCAAAATAACAAGAGCAAAATGGACTGGAGGTGTAGCTCAGGAGGTACAGCACCTGTTTTGCAAGTGCGAAACCCTGAGTTCAAATCCCAATCCCACCAAAAAAACAAACCAGAATGCACGGTATAATCACAACTTTGTAAATCTACACAAGTGTGCGTTCAGAAAAATGTCTAGAAGCATAAGCAGGTGCAAACGCATGAAGTTGTTTGTCTCTGCGCTGATGCACAGGATACTCTAGAAATATTTATTGATTCAATAAATGGATGAATGGCATTGTAAAAATTACCTCTTGGGATAATTTTTTTTCCTTTTGTTCTTTGTAAGTTCTACATTTAGCAAAACTTAAACTACGATTTATCTTTGCAATAATATCATATGATCACTCTGGAAATAATCATTAAGAAGAATGGAATAAAAGTAGAAAATAAACCAGGTGCCGGTGCCTCACGCCTATAATCCTAGCTATTCAGGAGGCAGAGATCGGGAGGATTATGGTTCAAAGCCAGCTAGGGCAAATAGTTCGTGAGACCCTATCGCAAAAAAAAAAATAGTCACGAAAAAGGCTGATGGAGTGGCTCAAGATGTAGACCCTGAGTTCAAGACCTAGTACTGCAAAAAAAAGTAAAAAATATAGATACCCCACAACCCAATCAATTTCTCTATTACACTATTTACCTACTATTACCTATTATGTTTCATTTACTGCATTTAAGCAATAAAAATATTAGATGTTACAGAAAAATTATAAGTCTAATATTCTATAGCTAATTATTATTGGAGTTGAGTCTAGAATTCAGGTTAAAGGGTTTCTAGACAAGAAGTTTTTTTCCATTGCACCAAGTTGTTTAGAATTCCAAAATATAACTGAATAAGTGGCATTATGAATAAAGGACTTAGGCAGTCCCTTGCTCATAAGTGAATTGTTTTGCTAATTAATTATTTTATGTTATCAAAAAACTCTAAGCATACTCCATTCTCATGCTACATAAGTTCCCCAGGATTTGTGAATTTCCTAAATTGTTTCCAAATTTGTGTATGCTTGAAGGGTATATTTGCACTATTCTGGAGAGACATCCAGAGTTGTTATAAGATTTGTAAAAAAAAAAACGGGGGGGGAGGGATAAGGGGAGATAACCAAAACAATATATAAACATCTAATTAAATGTAAAAACAATAAAATAAAATTTAAAAAAAAGAAGGCAAAAAAGGGGAAAAAGAGAAAAAGCTATAAAATCCCAAAGCACAAAAGAAAGGGAGATTGATGGTAAACAGAAAGTCTAAGAGAAGAAAAGGAACCACGATTAATTCTTCCTCTTTTTTATTCCTGGAACATGTTTTTAATATGCAAACGATTCTGTTTTATGACATTGCTTTCTAAGCAGCAGCACTAGGAAAGATATCGATGGGTTAAAAACACAAATTACTTCCATGGAATGAACGTCATCAGGTCCTAAGAAATCTATTTAATAATTTTCTTTTTCCTAATTAAACATAAATGTAAAATACTTCAAAAATAACTTATAATGTTAAAAAGAAGCAGTTTCTTGTCCCATAAAACATGCTTACCCTACAGGAAGTTTGTAAAACTTCTTTGAGCAAATGCAGATTAAACACTTCTCTATGCATTTCACAATTATTGCTTAATTTAAAATTTAACTCTTCCTAAGCTCAATGAAAACAAATACCTAGCCGTGCACCAGTGGCTCACGCTGTAATCCTAGCTACTCAGGAGGCAGAGATCAGGAGGGTCATGGTTCGAAGCCAGCTCCAGCAAAAAGGTCAAGAGACCCTATCTCAAAAATCCCTTCACAAAACTAGGGCTGGTGGAGTGGCTCAAGGTGAAGGCCCTGAGTTTAAGCCCCAGTATCACCAAAAAAAAAAAAAAAAAAACCCCAAAAATCAAAAAAAAAAAAAAAAAACTTTCTTATCCCAATTCTAACTTGATTGGCAAGGTCTATGGACTTCTGGCATGTACTTTTGAGAACCTTCACAGGTTTATTTCACTAGGTTCCCTGCAACGTGTTTTAGCTACAATTTCAAATTTATGCAACGAACAGAAAGAAAACAAGATACGAGTCCTCCTTACACCCAAATTATATTTACAAATATAACTTTAGGACTGACATCAATCCAAATGGTGCCCTTCCAATACTGTCCATCTGCCATAGCTGAATGAATGATTAACTCATCAACCAGTTGAAGAATATTGCTTTTTCTAGCTTTTGATATGAAAAATAATTATTTTTAGGACTAAAATCATTAAAAGTTGTAAGAGAATCAAATAGGCTACGCCACTGTTATTTCAAACCCAAATACCTTTTCCTAAATCTTCTGAAAGAAAATTACTAAAATAGTATTCACACTTAGAAATAAACCTTACAACTTGATAAAATCAAGTCAAGTGTCTAGTTTTGAGCTGTTCTCCTGGCACCTTAAATAACTCCAGCAAAAAGTGAATCAGAATCCCAGTCGGTTTACATTTTAGTTTTTCAGTATTAGCTGTCTTTCCCATAACACTGTAACACATTATATACCAAGGAATGCTTTGCATAAGTAACCAAAACGACTGCTTGTCTTTTAAAGTAAAACTTAAATGAGTCTACAAAGTCTGACGCTAAAGATCCTTTAGGGCTGTCAAACACATGCTGCTCCAGTCAGGGACTCTGTAACCATTGGGTGGCATCACTTGGAACACTAGCAAGTGCCACCTCTCTGCTTCTTTGAGTGCTAAATTTCAGGGCTCCATCTGAAAGAAATAACTTATTCTTCTATTCCTGGGTGCGTTTCCACCCAGGAAAGCAAACCTGCATTGGTTAAAGGAGTCTGCACTCCCTGATCTGGGCATCATTTCAAACAGCACAGGACTGCAGACTTTGAAAGCAGCGCGGTTCCCCTCCGTCCTTTCTTCTTCCCAAGTAAGCTACACACCAGCAGATAACGAGGGTGGGAGAGAGAGGTGGAGCGGGGGGAGAGTAAATATATTGCTTACATGAGGATCTTCAGGCTTCTCTATGTCTCTAGCTTTCTACCACGATCCGTGTTCAGCCCGGGACTTCAAGAAAGTCTTATCCTTGGTAGGAGGGGCCGAAATGTGGGCTGGCCTCCCTGACTCTGCAGATGTTTTAAGGTGGAATTAAAAAGAGAAAGAGACATACTCTAAACGCAAAGGTTGACTTTTCTGGTCTAGCCTTCTGGAATCAGATAATGTGCTAAACAGCATGCTTAGCCAAATATTGTTTTAAAACATGCTTACTTTAACCTGTCAAATTAAACGGAGGGTGCGTTTCCGAGTGTGTCTGGAACTACTTCTTGCCCTTAAGCCGTCACTACTTCCTCTTTTTTTCCCAAACAGTAAGAACAAAATTGAAAAGATAGTGAATAACCTTGAGCATTTTTTGCGTCCTTTAAAAAGGCAAAGTTTCTAACAAACCCCAAATACATACATGTTGAAGTTGAAGAACATAGGACCACTTTAAAAATCAAATCTGTTAAAAAAAAAAAAATTCCTCCCCAGTAAATGAAGAGGGTAAAGGAGGATGAATATGCCTGATGTACTGCTACACGTATTTGAATATGGAACATTGAAACCTGTTGAAGTCACTTTGAGGGGACTGGGATGGGAGGAAGAATAAAGGAAGGGATGAACCAAGTATAATGCATGCATATATAGAAATGTCACAACGGACACTCCCCCACCCTCACCTCCCTACAACTGGCATATACTGATAGAAACTGCACTGTTTAAAATTCCATATGAATCCATTCCAACAGAATTAATTATTCCACTTGAATACAAACATTCATTAAGGGCTGACAGTGTAGCTCCAGAGCTATGAACTAGCATGTGAGGCCTTTGCACCTGTGAGGTCCTTGCACCAGTGTGGTCCTAGGATTCATCCAGGGCACAGTTTTGGGTTTTTTTTTTTAAAGCATTGCACATTCAATACAGCATTTGCCATGTTATTCTTGGCAACACAAGAAAAAAATATGTTTTGTTCCATGAAATTAGGAGTCTTTTTCAAGTTCGTAAACCCTCTATCCACTTGATACAACACGTACGAGCTCAGCGACCTCAATAAAGTGTTGTTGACTTTTTTGTCCATGAAATTGAGGTCAAAGACTCTGAAGTATGACACCCAAAGATCATTCAACTCAGTACTACCATCTCCATTGTTATTCAAAAGAGAAAGTTTACTTTTTCTGCCCCTCCTACCCTCATAAAACTCCTGGAAATATAAAACTAACTAAAGGCAAGGGAGAAATAGACCCTAATTAAAATATGAATTTAAAAATCAGATATGATTATGAAAGCATAGCCTTCAGAACACAATATTTATGAGCAATAGGACTTTTTTTTTTCAGAGCCTACATCTTGAGTCACTCCACTAACCTGTTTTGTGTGTGTGCGTGTGTGTGTGTGTGTGTGTGTGTGTGTGTGTGTGTGTGTGTAAGGATTTTTTTGAGATAGGGTCTCCTGAACTATTTGCCTGAGCTGGCTTCAAACCAGGATCCTCCTGATCTCAGCCTACTGAGTAGCTAGGATTTACAGGTGTGGGCCACCTACACCAGGCAGGAACTGTGTTTTAAGATCTAAATATTTACCAGGAGTTTCCTGTATACTTGCTTCAATCTTTAGTCCTAAAAAGTAAAAACAATTATTTTTTTTAATTGGACATATTAGGTAGATTATTACTACTTTAATAAACTTCCTCTCCTTAATTTTTAAAAAAATGCATAGAAAGGACTGAGTCAGAATAGATAAATGAGGAGATAGGGAAATTATACTATTTTAATAAATATAGAAAGGGCCAGACTCTGACACTGGAATAAGGAAATAAAGATTGGAAAACCAGGGCTGATGGAGCAGCTCAGTTGGTAAGAGCACAAGTATGAGGCCCTGGGTTCAAATCCCAGTACCACCAAAAAAAAAAAAAAAGATCGGAAAGCCAGAGCAGCTAGCTCCTACCCATCTTCTTTTAAATGCTGTTACTACATGTATTCCCCCAGCTCGCCAGTAAATGACTACCGATGGGGACCACCATTTAGAATCCCATTTCCTGTGTGAATAGGAAATGTTTCTCTACTCTTTTTCTCTCCCCTACCCTTTGTCTATACTTTATCCTGTTATACTAAAACAAATCCTTGCTAAACCTTTCACCTTGTGAGACTCTTTGTTATGAGACATCTTGAAATGCTTTTCAACCTTCGTGGATCTCAAAGACCTGTGATTTTGCTTGGAAACTGGGAAGCCATGGGAGCCTCCTCATTTGTCCTCCAGTGACAGGACTATAACAAAGCGTTAGTACTACTCCTTGTTCAAAGCTTGGTGTGTCAGGTACTTTTTATTACCACTGCATTTACCTTATCACTAACCACCATATTTACAAATTTGACATTGCTATCTTTATTTATGATCCTGATATTATGTCAGCACACAAAATGAGCAGTGAAGCCAGGATTTCATCCCAATCTGTCCAACTCAAAGTCTACCATTTTACCAGTATATCAGATTCTCTTATAATGAGTTTTATATTCCCATCTTTTCAGCTAGTCCCAGTCAACCAAATCCCTGACTATTTGCTTTTGGTGGCAGTGGACCTACTAATAGAAAATGGGACTCCCATTATCCTAAATACTCAGATTAGAAACCTCCCACATATCAGCAATAGTTACTGTCTTGCTCCTTCATCCTTCCCCTAAAACTGCTTCATTCATTTTCTGACTTATATATTCAAAATTTTTAAAACCACATTTTTCTTTTCTTTCCATTGTCCTGTCAAAACATAAATCAATACTCCTGTCTCATTATTACTTACATATACCTCTATATGATCTTTACTCCAAAAGAGGGCATCTCTCGCCCTCTTCAATCATCCTAGGTTTCACTAACAGACACACCACCTACCATATGAGACAGATCATTACACCTGCATCCTCTTAACAGCCAGTCCACTGCCTATTAACTTACGCCATTACACTTTAAAACTATTCTCTTTTCATTCACAAGTAGAAGAAAACTTAAATCAGAATTCCTCAATTCTATCACAAATTACATATTTATACTGTATAAATGGAAAGATTCACACTTTTAAAATAAATATGTCAATACACAGTAGCGATTTTTGGCTGCAGAAATATCATGGCTGAGAACTTTTAAGAAACAGACGGAACTAGGAATTAAGCTGTCCTAATTCACTTCACCTATTTGTGGCAATAATTTGACAAGTTTACTTTCTGCTTTCCAAGATAACTCTAAATTTGGTAAAGCAAGTACATGCTTAGTTTTAGTAATTCTGTCACAATGGGCATGAGCCCAATTACTAACTTAGAGAATGACTTGCTGGCACTTTGCATAGTTTTTAAAATATGTATGATCGTGGAATTTAAATGCACTGACGACAATGAGCAAAGCTGAGCCATGGTCATTGTGTTGAAGTAATCCTAAGTAGGAAGAGTTATTGCTAAGTGAATTTCCAGTTATTTGAGTAGCTGAACAATAGTACATGTCACTAGGAGGTTTTTATATACAACTTTTGGTTGAATAAACCACTTCAATATGTACATTTATAAAACAAGTAATTCCACAACCTCAGGAATACTTTTGCTGTTTGAGTTTCCAGGTACATTATCAAACCCCAACAATTTATTTGGAAAATCTTTTTTTCCTTCATTGTATATCTGTATGTCTATATAAATACTCACATATTGAAGTTCTATAAACAACTTAAATATTTCTTAATTAACAACCACCTCTGATGGTTGAATTTTCAAGTTGACTGGGCAAAGGGATGCCCTGCATTATTTCTGGGTGTGAGTGTTAGGGGATGTTTAACTGGAAGAGATTAGCACTTGAATGAATATACTAAGTAAAGAAGATTTGCCCTTCACCTATGTGTGCAAGGCATTATTACCCAATCCTTTAAGGACTGGAATTGAACAAAGATTGTCAGACAAGGTGAGTATTTCCATGAAGCTACATCCTAGTAGGCAGGAGAGATAAGTGATAGGATAAGAGAGATTTTTTGAAACACTCATTCCCTGGAAAGGCTTCTTTGAAGATAGGACATTTCACCTGAGACTTGAAAGACGAAACCAAATGTGGGAGGGATTTTCCAGATAAAGAAAACAAAAACACACACAGCAAGTATATACACAGAAACCTAAACTGACGCATGAAATTTGAAAGATACACATGACAATGCTATTATGAGTGCTTTGAACAGCACACACTGGAGTAAAGAAAGAGACAAAGCAGAGCTAAATTAAGCCAAAAACCCAAACTGGGCCATAAAGCTAGCCCAGGAATTTGGTGGGTAGTTGTAAGGCAGGCAAGAAGTAGGAAAAGTTTGTGGCTCATGTAGGCTGCCTGAGGATGGCCAGACCACCCTCACCTGTCTGGAAAGCACCCATGCCTCTCCCCACTCGTTCATTATTGGGTGGGACCTCCTGGGCCTGCCCTCCCACAGGGTAGTGTAGGGTTCAAAGGCCGCTCTGCCTGTGGACTCTACCAGCGCCCACCGTGCCCTCTGCTTCTTCTTCCCTTTCCTCACCTGGGAGAACAGGGGACTCCCCTTTGCTCAATAAGGCTCTCCTACCTCACCCTAGCCACGTGCTCTGCTTGGATTTTTCCATTTGGAGCACAAAAACCAGGATCTCTGATCACAGAGTTCATCAGCACTGTTAACAGTTGTGTTAAATTGAAGCAGCAAAAGCAGAGAAAACTAATGGCTATAGAATTGAGGCAGGAGAGATAGATGAGGAGACAGGGAAATATATTAGTTTAACAAATATTTAAAGGGATAGACCCAGACATTGGAACTAGGAAGTAAAAAGCAGCAAATAGTTCATGAGACCCTATCTCAAAAAATCCTTCACAAAAATAGGACTGATGGAGTGGCTCAAGGTAAAGTCCCTGAGTTCAAGTCCCAGTACTGCAAAAAAAAAAAAAAAAAAGAAAGAGAAACATTTCCTGTTTTCCATGCAGGAAATGGGAGCAAAGACTCAAAATGGCAGCCCCCATCTCTTAGCCTTATACTGGAGAGCTGGGGTAATACATGTGACAGATGACGTTAAAACAGGGAGGGGTCATCCTGGCCCACCCGAATCACAGGGAAAATAGGTGT